AAAAAAAAAAAAAAAAAAATCCAAATCAGAAAGAAGGACACAAAATTGACTCTGTTTACAGATGACATGACCTTATATTTAGAAGCCCTAAAGACTCCTCAAAAAAAAAGTTAGAACCGATAAATTCAGTAAAGCTTCAAAATGCAAATTCAACATACAAAAATGAGTTGTGTTTTTATACACTAACAACAAACAATCCTATTTACAACATCAAAAAGAATAAAATATTTAAGATGAATTTAACCAAGAATGTGAAAGATCCGCATACCAAAAACTATAAAATATTAATGAGATAAATTGAACACACAAATAAATAAATAAAAACCCGTAATCATAAATCAGGAAAATTAATGTTGTTAAAATGTCCATTCTACCCAAAGCAATATATAGACTCAGGGCAATTCGTATCAAAAGTTCAATGGCATTTTTCACAGAAATAGAATACATAATCCTAAATGCGAATAGATTTTATAAAAGACCACAAATAGCCAAAGCAATCTTGAGAAAGAACAAAGCTGAAGACAACCTGATTTCAAGCTATATTACAAAGCTAAAGTAATTAAAACAGTATGATAGTAACATAAAAACAGACATTAGAACAATGGACAAATCATAGAGCTCAGAAATAAACTCACATATGAATTTTTGTGCTAAAATATAATGACTGTGTTGTTCAAGAAAGAGGAATATTTAGGACAAAACAGAAAGTCTAAGCCTGTAGTGAGTGCTCTATGTAAGTTGTAATAAGTTAAGTAAAAATAATTTTTTTTTTGAGACAGAGTCTCACCCTGTAGCTCAGGCTAGAGTGCAATGGTGTGGTCTCGGCTCACTGCAACCTCCACCTCCCAGGTTCAAGCGATTCTCCTGCCTCAGCCTCCCAAGTAGCTGGGACTGTAGGTGTGTGTCACCACACTCGGCTAATTTTTGTATTTTTAATAGAGACAAGGTTTCACTATGTTGGCCAGACTGGTCTTGAACTCTTGACCTTGTGATCCACCTGCCTCCACCTTCCAAAGTGCTGGGATTACAGGCATGAGCCACCTCGCCCTACCAAAAGAAATTGTTTTTTAAAAAGGGAGTTGTATAATTCAGTTGGCTATGATTAAGAAGAAATTATAATAGTTTTTCCTAGAGATGGGTCTTTGATATTAAAATAATACACTAATATAGAACTAAATAATTAGTTAAAACAAGATTTTATTACAAATATTGACTTATTTTTATGCAAGATGTTTTAAATTTTTAAATTGTATGACCAGTCTCTTTGACATTCTTCAGATTGATATCTCAAAAGCACAGCTTTTTTCTTTGACAGGGGCTTGGATAATAGCTCTCTCCTTCACCTTTTGTTGGCTCCTGTAACTTTTATCATCTAAAGTAGGAAACGAAATTTTTTTTAAACAAGCAAATAAAATATCCTGCGGAGCCAGGCACAGTGGCTCATGCCTGTAATCCTAGCACTTTGGGAGGCCAACACAGGCGAGTCATTTGAGGTCAGGAGTTTGAAACCAATCTGGCCAACATGGTGAAACCTCATCTCTACTAAAAATACAAAAAAATTAGCCCAGGCATGGTGGCACGCACCTGTTATTCCAGCTACCCAGGAGTCTGAGGCAGAAGAATCACTGGAACCTGGGAGGCAGAGGTTGCAGTGAGCTGAGATCATGCCACTGCACTCCAGCCTGGGCAGCAGAGCCAGACTCTGTCTCTCTTTCTCTCTCTATATATATACACCCTTTGCATACTTATTGTATTTATATATCATATCTATTTATATATATTCATATGAGTCATGTGGAAGTGATACTTCACTTCCAAACTGCATGAAAGAGTTCTAATCAAGTAACTTTTAAAAATTAAGTGCCCATTGGACTGGTGAAAGTTAGCTCAGATGTCATTTAATTCCCATAATTTTGGTAATCTGTGACAAAGTTAATTTGGCAAATTTAATCCGAAAACTCTATCCAGTAATTAAAACTCTTAAAGTCATGTTAAACACTTGGTTTTTATTTTCACTGGAAATTTGGATTGTTAAAAGTTAAAATAGCAGGCTGGATACAGTGGCTTACACCTGTAATCCCAGCACTTTGGGAGGCCAACGCGGGCGGATCACGAGGTCAAGAGATGGATGGAGAACATCCTGGCCAACATACTGAAACCCCGTCTTTACTAAAAAATACAAAAATTAGCTGGGCGTGGTGGCACGCACCTGTAGTCCCAGCTATTTAAGAGGCTGAGGCAGGAGAATTGCTTGAACCCGGGAGGTGGAGGTTGCAATAAGCCGAGATCGCTCCATTGCACTCCAGCCTGGCGACAGAGCAAGACTCTGTCTCAAAAAAAAAAAAAAGGTTAAAATAATGGGAACATAAAATACGTTTTTGGTAAAGTTTATAAAGCACAAAGATGGTGATTTTGCTTTAAAAAAGGAAAATAGTTTTTTTCTAGTTAAAAACTGTTTGCTTTAAAATGAAGGAAAAATTACACAAATAAAACTAAACAATAGGAACAATTATGCCAAGCCAACAAAAGTTAACTCTGAACTCTGTGATAAAAAAAAAAAAAAAAAAGTCAACATGGGGGAAGGGTAAAACCAAGTAACCATTAAAAAGCAGAGTATATAATGCAAGGGAATTATTTCATTTCATAGATTGGTATCATCAGCTTCTTAAAAAATCTTTAGTGAATTGTAAAATAACCACTTTAAGGACAAAATTATTAAATGTAAATGCTACAGAATTTAAGACCTTGTTTGGGTTGGTGTAAGAGTCATAGCTCACTACTAATCACTATCAAGTAAATGTAATCCAAATGCACATGAGGTTATTCCTAAAAGAAACAGCAGCCTAGTAACCTGGATAAGCGCTGCTGGAAGGTCTGTTTGCCCTGAGAAGAGGACTGCCCAAAGCTCCCTATAAAATAGCCAGTGAGCACCCCAAATGAAGCAGTTAATATGCTTCATATGCAAGCCATATTGGACTGGCTTTATGATGACAGGGCTGTCCTCCCACCAAATACACCCATTACCCCGGTCATGGTAAATTTGGGAGCTAAGTGGACCCTTTTACATGCGTGCCCCTCCCACAGAATCAGAGGACTGATTAAGAAACCTTATCAAATTTGCTGTCCATCATATGTCTTACAGATGCAACTCCCTGCTGGGAACCCAAGCCCTTTTTCAACACAAAAGGTAAAATGGTCTGGGAGTAGAAAAAGCCTGGGACCAGAGCATAAAAGCATACAGATTAATAGGTTGATAAAATTCAAGATGTTTACACAAACTTTATGTAAGGTAGTTGAATTCCTTTACCTAAATGTCTTATTAAAATGGGTACTGCATTTAACTGCGATGTTTCCCCTTTCTAGTACTATGAAACTGAAGGAATGTAAACCTGCTCTTTTAGGAAATGTTAATTAAACATGATAAATGGAAACTAGTAAAATCACCTAAGCCCACGAAGTACAGGGTTGAGGCTACTGTGCTGGTCTCGAGGTACCCTCCACTGCAAAGCCCTTTGTATGGTGCATTTATCGGGGCTGATGGCAAAAGACCGTGGGTACTTTTCAATGACAACCACTAACTAGAGAATTTCCACTTGATGGGGCATTTCTTGCCTCGCTATAGAATATTAACAGAAGCTACCCCTATGCTAATGGAAATAATGGTGCCCAAAAGAGTTCCATGATAAAATAAAAATGTTTTACATAAAAAAGGAAATAAACCTACACATATGAATGTAGTAATATTTGACAAGGGTGTCAGAATTGCACAGTGAGGAAATGACCGTCTTTTTAATAAATGGCGTTAGGAAGATTGGATATCTACATGCAGAAGAGTGAACTTGGACCCCGATCTTAGGCCACTGAAAGAAATTAACTTGAAATGGATTTAAGACTTAAATGTAAGATCTAAAGCTGTTAAACTACTGGAAGCTTTGAAGCATAGGCATAAAGCTCCATGACATTTGTCTTGGCAATGCTTTTTTTTGGATGCGACACAAAAAGCACATGCTACAAAAGCAGAAATAAACAGTGGGACCACATCAAACTAAAAAGCTCTGCACAGCAAAGAAACCAATCAACAAAATTAAAAAGCAGCCTACAGAATGGGAGAAAGCATTTGCAAACCGTACACACGACAAGGGATTCATATCCAAAGTATATAAGGAACTCATACGGCTCAATAGCAAGAAATAAATAATCTGATTTTAAAATGGGCAAATGACCCGAATAGACATTTTTCAAAGAAGATATACAAGTGGCCAACAGGTACACAAAAAGGTGTTGAGACAGTCTTCAACGTTACAAAGTATCAGGGAAATTCAAATCAAAACCACAATGAAACATCGCTTCACACCTGTTAAAATGACTATTATCTTATCAA